TGTGTGTGTGTGGCCAGCTCAGCCCACTAGGGGGCGGGGCTGGCTGGCATGTGGTGCTGGGGGATTGAACCGCGGTCCCTGTGCTTTGCTAAGCGTGTTCTAAGTAGGTGCTTCAGACCACTGAGCCATCTCACCAGCCCCAGATTGAAGTTATTCTGATGAAGAATTTTTCCATAGTATTCAGTAGCAACTATTAGGTTACTTCCAGTGTTGAGCACACAAAAATAGGTTACTTCCAGTGTTGGGCACACAAAAATAATGCGTCATGTAAGGTGGAAATTATTTTTTCCTTAGGTTTAAAAAAGCAAAACAAATGCAAGTCCAGACATAAGGAATCCAGAGTAGTTTAGGATCCTGCGGTGGCCCTGCCCTGGGTGTGTCAGTTTGCAGAGGCTGTTAGACCAGCTGAGTGCGGAGTGGACACGTGGGCCTGGTGTTCTGCAGACAGATGGGCTGAAGTAAATGTAGTGGGAGCCACTGGTACACAGATTCCATCTGAAGCTTTAGTGTCTCCTGGAGACTAAGGCCAAGCCAAAGACTTCAGTGAGCCAGGCATGGTGGCGCATGCCTAGAGTACTGGCATTTGGGAAGGTGAGGCAGGAGGATCTCTGCAAGTTTGAGGACAGCTGGGACTACATAGTGAGTTCAAGGCCAGACTGAGCTACATAGTAAGATTCTGTCTCAAAAGGAAAAAAAAAAAAAAATTAGGGCCAGGGAGATAGTTCAGTAGAATAAGCACTTGCTGGCAAGCGCAGGGTCCTGAGTTCAATACCTGGTACTGAAAAAAAAATTTTAAGGGACTTCTTAGGGTCTCAGAGTTGATCCAGGAGGGGAAGACCCACTTACAACAGGCCCCTTGTCTCCTACAGCATGCGCCTCGGGCCACTGGGGGGCTAACTGTGCCCAGTTGTGCCAGTGTCACCATGGTGGGACCTGCCACCCCCAGGATGGGAGCTGTGTCTGTACCCCAGGCTGGACCGGCCAACATTGCTCAGAAGGTGCCCACAGCAGGGGACCCCTCGCCTGTGCCTCAACTCAGCAGGGAAGCAGGGAGGAAGCTGCAGCTTCCCGGCCACCCTGTGACCCTGGCTTGCCTCCTGGGCTCTCCCCTCAGGCTGCCCTCCAGGGACCTTTGGTGCCAACTGTTCCCAACCATGTGAGTGTGGTCTTGGAGAGAAGTGCCACCCAGAGACAGGGGCCTGTGTGTGTCCCCCGGGGTACAGTGGTGCACCCTGCAGGATTGGTGAGTTCACACACACACACACACACACACACACACACACACACACACAGAGTCCCCAGGGAACAACCGCCAAAGCCTGTCACTATCCTTGCTTCCTTCTGGTCACTTCTAGACATATATCCTAGCTCGAAGCAGAGCTAAGATGCCACCCTGATTACCCACCCGCCTCACACAGGAAGCCAGGAGCCTTTCACCATGATGCCTACCTCTCCAGTGGCCTATAACTCGCTGGGTGCAGTGATTGGCATCGCAGTGCTGGGATCCCTTGTCGTGGCCCTGATAGCACTCTTCATTGGCTACCGCCATTGGCAAAAGGGCAAGGAGCACCAGCACTTGGCAGTGGCGTACAGCAGTGGGCGACTGGATGGCTCAGAGTATGTCATGCCAGGTGAGCTGGCACAGGGGCCTGTGGCATAAATAAGGCATGGGCAAACAGGTTGCACAAAAAGACTGGAAGTGGGGGTGAGGAAGGGAGGTCAGGGAGGCTGGGTTACTGAACTCTCAGGACAAAATGGGCTATCTCTGAGCTCCCCTGCGCCTGTCTGTCCTGCAGATATTCCTTCAAGCTACAGTCACTACTACTCCAACCCCAGCTACCACACCCTGTCACAGTGCTCTCCCCACCCCCCGCCCCCTAACAAGGTCAGTGTCAGGGAGGGATGCGCTGGAGGGATGGGTGCCCACCTGGCTCTTGAGGAAGCTCAGGCCTTAAGTGTGCTCTCCCTGTGGCCCTGTCCCCTCAGGTTCCAGGCAGCCAGCTCTTTGCCAGCCTCCAGGCACCCGAGAGGGCAGGTGGAGCCCACAGGCATGACAACCATGCTACACTACCTGCTGACTGGAAGCACCTCCGGGAGAGCTCTCCAGGACCTCTGGACAGGGGTAGGGGCTGGGTGGCCATGGCTGGGCAACATCCTGCTGCTCCTGCCGAGTGTGTGCGGGAAAAGGGGCTGGAGCCCAGTTCTAGAGGAGGCTGGAAGCTGTGGAGGGGACTGGGGCCTGACTGCAAGTTGCCTCCCTCTCCTTAGGTGGCAGCCGCCTGGACCGAAGCTACAGCTATAGCTATAGGCATGGTAAGGGCCCAGGCCCTGTGTCTAATAAAGGTATAAGCCCAGGGGCAGCGAGGGAGAGGTAAACCTGGTCAAGAGACAGTGTCTCTTCATGGAAACTGAATTCTTTACTCAAACCCTAGGGAACATCTCTGAAGAGGAGCTGGGGACCAGCTTGGCTTCCCTGAACAGTGAGAACCCATATGCCACCATCCGAGACCTGCCCAGCCTGCCAGTAGGTCCCCGGGAGAGCAGTTACGTGGAGATGAAAGGCCCCCCTTCAGCTTCTCCTCCCAGGCAGGCTCTTCAGCGTCGGGACAGCCAGCGGCGGTGGCAGCCCCAGCCACAGAGAGACAGTGGCACATATGAGCAGCCCAGCCCCCTGATCCATGGTGAGCGTTCCCTCTCAGAGCATGGGGACAAGAGCAAGAGAGGGACAGAGGAAGAGAATAAGGAGGTGGCACAGTGTGGTCAGACGTGGGCTCAAACCAAGTGATGTTGGGGAAGTCACATTGTCCTCAGAGCCTGTTTCCTCATCTGTAGGATACTCTGCACTCAGAGGCTGAGGATTTAAAATGATAGTGGTGTAGTACTGAGCAGTAGGGAGCAAGTCAGGGGACAGAGATCCTCTTACCCTGCCAGGTGACAAGCTGAAGTGGCCTCTCTTACTGGCAGCTGAGGGTTGGAAAAGCTTTGGCTGAGGGCTGCCCAGCCAGGTGGTAGTACATGTGCCACATCCAGTGCCCACCTTGCCATGGGCAGAAGAGGCTGGAGGGGGAGGTGATGTGTGGGAGGCTGAGGACCCTCCTCTCACTCATCCAGTCCCTTCTGTCTCCAGATCGAGACTCCACGGCCTCCCAGCCCCCTCTTCCTCCAGGTCTGCCCCCTGGCCACTATGACTCACCCAAGAACAGCCACATCCCCGGACACTATGACTTACCTCCAGTACGGCACCCCCCGTCACCCCCACTTCGGCGCCAGGACCGCTGAGGAGCCAAGATGATACAGAGGAAGCCTGCGAACCTGGTCCTTGCTGTCCAAGGCTGGGGACAGAGCTTTGTGTGTACTGCCAGGAGCAGGGAGAAGACTGGCAGGCCATGACGCGAACATATTTAATGAAGGAAGTGAATGGAGAACTAGGAGCCTCGCTCCAGGTTCTGTCAGGGGAGACAGTGGTTGGCAGGATGCCTGATTCCCTTTTATGGACCTGCTGCTCCCCGAAGCCCCCTAGGGCCCTGTGTACGTCAGCTGATGGGTGAAAGTGGCTGGGTGACTCTGGTTTCAGATTGATTTTTAAAATGTATAATGGGTACCTTTCTTGCACATGCCCTGCAGGGTGGGGTGTGCGCGGGTGTGTGGACGTGGGCATGCGGACGTGGGCATGGGTGTGTGGGCGGGTGTGTGTGTGGGTGTGCCTGCATCTTGTCCTCAGGCATTCACAGTTTAGCCCAGGAGCAGCCCAGGAGCCCAGTTAGCTCTAGCAGCACTTGCCACTCCTCAATCCACTGCACACACAGCTGGGTTGGTTTGCTGAAAGACTTCCTGTCTTCCTGGGTGCCCCTCTGCTCCTGGGCCAGAGTCAAAACTTTCAAAGGTTTTAGGGGCCGTGCTGCCGGGCCAGTTTGTCTCTCAAACCTTGTGCTTGCCAGGCAGGAGCTTATGCCACTGAGCTATCTCTGTGGCTCACCAGCTTCATCTTGAATGGTGTCTCCTTGTGCTCTGTTCTAATCACACTGGCCCCCAGGTCTTGCTGCCTGTCACACTTCCTCCTACCCAAGGGGCTTGCAAGCCACAGTGCTCTTCCTCCTGTTAGCTGTGGGCCCAGTGTGTCCCTCCTGGATGGCACCTACACTCCTGCAGAAGGCCAGCAGGGGCACAAGCACCACTCTGATTTCTTATTCCTCATGTGATTATTCATTGTTTTCTGCCTCTAGACTGTACAGTTCTGAAAGCAGGACTCCTGTGTTTATGCTCAGTATTGTTTACCTTTGGCACTCAATAAATGTTCCCCAAGAGGCTTTGTGGCTGAGTGAATTAAAGTGCAAAAGGCAGTGTGGCATGCTACCGCAGGTGGGCACATTGTGTGCTCCGACAGCAATAGGCTTTCTACAGGAGAGGGAGCAGGGCTGGGTGTGTGGAACAGAGTGGGGTGCTGAGGCAGGAAGACCTCGGGAGAGAGTTGGGATTCAGACAAGGCTTCAAGTCATGGCCTGATGGTGTGAAGAGTATCCTGGCACTGCTCAAAGGGTTGGTCTGTCTGGTCTTTTTTGTTGTTGTTGGTTGTTTGGATTTTGGCGGAAGGGGGGATTGAACTCAGGCCCTTGTGCTTGCCAGGCAAGTGCTTATTGTACTGAGTTATCTCCCCAGCCTCGGTCTGGTCTTTTTCATGGTGCTCTGTCTTTATTGGGCTGGTGGACGGACCCCAGAGAATGGACTTGCCCCTACCCGGACTCTACCTGGTATCCTCTGATTGCACCGACCCTGCTATGCTGAGTCAGTTCCCGAGGGTGGTTTTGGATTGTCTGGCACCTGCCCATCCTTGCTCTCTGCACAGTGGTTCGTTCTAGGATCCACTCTGCTCCCTCCGCTATGGCCCAGCCCTGGATCTGGCCACCTCAGCTTTTCTCCCTCTGTTCAGACGCCAGGCTCAGGAGCTCACGGGTTCACCAATAACCACAACAGCCTGGGCGTCACCCCTCTGGTGGTCAGCCAGCTCATCCATCCCTCTGTGAGCCCCGCCCTCTCTCTGGTAAGCCCCGCCCACGACAGCCAGCTCCTCCCCCTCCCCTCAGCCCCGCCCCCCGCAGTCTAGGCCCGCCCACCTCTCGTGGTCGCCTGGGAGAGGGACGCGGTCTCTCGCTGCTGGCTGGTCGGATCCCCGTGGGTACTCTCGGAACAGAGACCCTTAATTCAGCTGTCACAGAGTGAGCTCACCAGGGTGAGCCTCCTGCTTAACTGCTCTCACGAGGGTCGCAAAGGCACCAGCATGTCTGAAACCGGGACGGTAGCCAGGACCCCGCGTCCTGGGGCCCAGAAGTCGTCCGGCACCACGGCCAAGAAAGGGGAGCGAGCTGCCAAGGAGAAGGCGGTGGTGGCTGTCCAGCAGCTGATGGGCGAGGAGGAGTCCAGAAACCCGGGTACGGTGGGCTGGCGGCGGGGTCAGGAGAACAGGGCTCCCAGCTGCAGTTCTGCGCCTTCCCACCCGCCCCTCCCTGGTCGTTAGCCAGGCTGAGTTCCAAGCTTCAGGCTTGGCAGTTGAACTTGATCTTAAAGAAGCCACATTGTAATTTGGGATGCTGACAACACAATACGGTGTGATAAGATATGAGATGAATGAGTGGAAGGCCCTGGGAATACTGGAGGTGGGTTCTGCCGGGAGCTGTCCTGGGTAGTTACATAACCATTCATTCAGCACTCAGTTTTTGAATGTCTGCTGAGACCAGGTGTGATTCAGACAACATGAACACAGTCCTGCTTCTACAGAATCCACCTTTTCTAGGAAAACCAAACCAAACCAAACCAAACCAAACCAAACCATGTAAGGCCTACTAAGTCATATAAATAGTGGGTGTTGTATAAATGGGTGGCTCTTTGTTGCAAGTGACAGAACCTCAATCTAAATTAGTAAGCACCAAGGACAATTTATTGGACAGCTTCCTGATACAAACTTGACAGCTTTGCCATCAGAAAGGGACTCTGGTTTCAGACTGATTTTTTTTTTTTTTTTAAATAACTAGTTCTTTTTTTTTTTTTTGTGGAACCGGGGATTGAACTCAGGCCCTTGAGCTTGCCAGGCAAGTGCTTATTCTACTAAGCCATCTCCCCAGCCCCTCAGACTGATTTTTAAAATGTATAATGGGTAGCTTTTTTGGACATGACCTGAAGGGTGGGGAGTGTGTATGCATGCGCAGGTGTGTACGCATGTGGGCTGGTGCATGCGTGGGTGTGCCTGTATTCACAGTTTAGCCCAGGAGCAGCCCAGGAGCCCAGTTAGCTCTAGCAGCACTTGCCACTCCTCAATCCACTGCACACACAGCTGGGTTGGTTTGCTGAAAAGGCTTCCTGTCTTCCTGGGTGCCCCTCTGCTCCTGGGCCAGAGTCAAACTTTCAAAGGTCTTAGGGCCGTGCTGCTGGGCCAGTTTGTCTCTCAAACCACCCACGGATGGGGTGGGTAGTTTCAAAATGATTCAAGCACATTACATTTATTGCGCCCTTTATTTCTAGTATTACATTACATGAAATAGATTTTTGGAGACAGGGTCTTGCTCTGTAGTTCAGACTCGCCTTGAACTCATGAAATAATTACACAACTCACCATGATGCACAATCAGTGAGAGCCCTGATTTGTTTTTCTGCAACCAGACAGTCCCATCCAGGAGTGACAAAAGACAGTAACACCCAAAGTGTGTTGCTTGTGTCCAGTTTACTCTGTAATCTCATTTTTGTTGCTGTCATTGTGGGAAACCCTGTTTCACAGACAGGGATGTTAGAATTGGAAACAGGCTTTTCAGTGCTTTTGTGGTAGGCTCAGACTTGAATCCAGAATGTATGGAGATTTGGAATTGTCTCAAACACACTTCAAAGACCACTGTCACTTGTGACCTCAAGCAATTGGTCCTGTTCTATCATGGACAGAGTTGGTTCCCCAATTTACAGATTGGTCCTAGATCCATTCCTTCCCAGTTTTGGGGGATGGTCTTCTGTGGCTAGAAAGTCATGCTCAAACCTTTTCAAAGCTGGGACAGATGATTATACACCAGCTGGGAGAAAGAAGGCCCTGGCTCAACTGCCTTCAAAATTTCTGCTAATGTTTAAAGCATTTTAAAAATCCCAATGTTTAAGCCAGATGTGGCAGCACACACCTGTAATCCCAGCACTTGGGAGGATGAGTTTGAGGTCAGCCTAAACTACACAGAGAGTTCAGGCCAGCCTGAACTAATGAGACCATGTTACAAACAAACAAACAAAGTTTACTCACCACCTTCATAATTCCAGTTTGGCTTTGAATGCAGTTACTTTATCTTGACTACAGCTATAATTCTTCCTGAAGGGGTAGATTGAGTTTGCCAAGCAGGTTGTGTGTCACACAAGTAAGCAGGTTTTGAGACCCCTTTGTTTCACTGCCTGCGCTGTTGATAGGGACTGGTTTTTTGGTGTTTTTTTTTTTTTTTTTTTTAACACAAATCTCCAGAGTGGCTTTCCTAACTCAGAAACTCCAGCCTGGTGATTTATCTTTAGAGAGCCACTGTACCTCAGGGTAGAGAGAAGATGTGTGTGTGTATGCATGTGTGCATGTGTGTGTGTGCGTGTGCGCATGAGCGTGTGCATGTGCACTCTGCCCCTGATCTTCAGCTTCCTGAACAGATGTGAGTTAAAGGCATGCCCTTGAATGTGGTTGATGATATCACTCACATCTTGCAAATGACATTAAGTTCAGGTGACATTTTTTAGCTAGCCAGCCTTTCTCACACAGGGGAAGTGTGTCACCTTCGGAAGTGACCTCTTTGACCTGAGCAGTGAAACCAGAAAGCTGCCCAGTGCTGGCCAGCTCGGGCTGTGCATATCATGCACAATAACCAGTTGGGTTTCCTTGACATATGGTCATTCAGAGACTTGAATAGTTCTGTGGCTGCGGTGTTGCTGGCAACAGCAGTGCCCCTCACGTGCCCTCCCTTCCTCCCTCCCTCCCTCCGGCAGAGGAGTACCAGTGCACTGGGGTGCTAGAGGCCGACTTTGCCGAGCTCTGCACGCGCTCAGGCTACACCGACTTCCCCAAGGTTGTCACCCGGCCGCGCCCGCACCCCATTTCCCACTCCTCGGCCTCCACATCGGAAAAGCCCACCCTTGGTGAGTGGCAGTGGTGTCATGGGGCTGTGAGTGTGTGGGGCAGGGCTGGGGGCTGTGCAACAGCCTCCAGCCTTCTCTCCTGGCTTCCAGACGACCAGCGATTGTCAGCATCCTGCAGCCTCTTCAGCCTCGAGAGCAAGTATGGGTTCTTCTGGCCCACCATCCAGGTGGAGCTGGAGCAGGACGATGGCAAGGCGGTGAAGGAGATCTACATCCGCGGTAGCCCACCCACTCTGCCCTGGCCCGTGCTGCCCCCAATCCGAGGTCTTGCTCCTAGGTTTAAGACCCTCCTCTCCCTCTGCAGGCTGGAAGGTGGAAGAACGGATTCTGGCCATCTTCTCCAATTGCTTGCCTGCCTTGAGCCAGCTGCAGGCCATCAAGTGAGGACACTGGGTGGGGGAGGGGCAGCGTGTGAGCTGCGCTCCCAGGGGCCTGGGATAGAGACAGAAAAGGCCCCAGAACGGCTTGAATCCCAGCCCTCGGAGGCTGAGGCAGGCAGATTGAAAGTTTCAGGCCAGCCTGGACAATTTTATGAGACTTTATCTCAGAATACAATATTTATTTTATTTCCAAACACAAAATTTAAAAAGGGCTGGGTGCAAAGCTCCTGAGTGCAGTCCCCAGTAAGGAGCGTACACACACACACACACACACACACACACACACCCTGATGGCAGTGTGGGATGGAGGGTGGGAAGGGCCTGGCCTGCTGGAGGACTGGCAGGAGTCCTCATAGCAGGTGACCTCCTGCTCTTTCTGCTGACTGCAGCTTGTGGAAAGTAGGGCTGACGGATGACACCCTGAGTACCTTCATCGCCCTCCTGCCTCTCTGCTCACCCACGCTCAGGTCAGCAGAGGGAAGCCCAGCTGGTGACGGGAGGGGCTGGTACGGAAGTGGCGAGTCCCTGCTCTTGGGCCTGGCATCCTGGAGGGCACAAGGTCCAGTCTGTGTCTCTCCCCTGACAAGACTCAGTCCCATTTCAGCCCTCACCAGCCTTGGGGCCTCACCCTGTCCTGTCCACCAGCCCCACTCCCATCTACATTCCCTGGAGGTCCTCACTCTTGTTTCTTGGCCTGGGCCTGAGGCTAGGAAGATGGCACTCATCTTGCAGAAACTCACAGCCAGGGAGGCAGAGGAAAGGACCCAGGTGTAGAGCTCGCAGGGTAGTCAGGGCGGTGGTGCTGGTGAAGCAGTGCCCCCCATTTCATGGGGTGGGGGGCAGAAAGGCCTGGAAGGCTGCCTGGAGCGGGTGCTGCTGGGCTTTTTTCTTGGAGGACTGGGAGCAGGCTAGGCTGGGCATCAGGAGAGGCATCCCTGTGCAGGGGAGCAGGTGCCTGGAGAGAGGTGGCCTAGGTATAGGTGTGGTCTGGTGTAGAAAGAGCAGGACTGACTCGGCTGCCTGCCCCTTGGCGCCTTCACTTCTCTCTTCACAGAATATTCCCTAGACTCTGCTGCATCCTGGGGCTTGCCTGTCTCCTGCTCCAAGATGGGGTGGATGCTCCTTGGGGCAGGGACTATGGCTCCTCCAGCTGGGTCCCCAGTATGCTGTGTAAGCATACATTTCTTTATTTTCTTCTTTGCAGTATCAGGGATTGAACTCAGGACCTTGCACCTGCTAGGCAGGCGCTTATGCTGCTGAACTATCTGCCCAGCCTAAGCATACATTTCTTTTCTTTTCTTTTTTTTTTTTTTTATGAGCAGAACATATTTATTGAGAGAAAGAAAGCTCCTGTCCGAGAGAGGGATAGGAGGGGGGCCCGAGTGGGTAGTTTCCCATAAGCATACATTTCATCCCACCTTGAGAACTAGAAACAATTTAGTTAGCAGAGAAAGAACAGTGTGAACTCACTATGGAAGAACAAGTCGGGGGCTCGGGTGATAGCTCAGCGGCTTAAGTACCTGCCTGGTAAGTGCAAGGTCCTGAGTTTGATCCCCAGTACCAAAAAAAAAAACAAAACAAAAAGCACGAGTCAAATACCAGCATAAAAATAATTTAAAATGCACTGTTTATGTGAAAAACAAGGCAGACTGAATGGTTGTGCAGAGAGAAAAAAAAAAAAAGAAAAAAAAAAGACAAATCATGGAAGACACTATTTCAGCTGGGTGTATAGTGGCACACATCCATGATCCCAGCACTCAAGAGGCTGAGGCGGGAGGATCTCCATGAGTTCAAGGCCAGCCTGGGCTATATATAGCAAGACCCTATCTTAAAAAAAAAAAAAAAAATCTATCTGGTGGTTTAGTTTTTGTTGTGATTCAAAAAGACCTGTATTTTGTTGGCACTATTGGAGAAGTCCTTAGTCTACAGTGGGGTCATGTAGTAATTTATCAGTTGCTATGTAACAGAATGGCTCCCAAATTTAGTGGCTTCCAACAGCAGACACTTAGTCCCTCAGGTCCTGCTAGTTCATGTGGGTGTGGGTTGCTGGGTGCTTCTTGCTTGGTCTGTTTTGAGGAGGCAGGAAAGCCACTGGCTGGGACTATGGTGAGCTCTTCTGTATGACTGACTGGAGGCCTCTCCCAGGCATCTGCTTTTCATTGGTTTGTTTCTTTGGTTTTGGAGACAGGATCTCATTATGTAGTTGAAACTGGCCTTGAACTGGGGCAATCCTCCCGCCTCAGCCGCCAGAGTCCTGGAATTACAGGTGTGGGACCACCATGGCTGGCTACCCCAGGAATCTGCATGTCTTAGGACAGGGCAGTAGGGAGAGTACCAGAGAGCAGTGGGGGGTGCAGACCATGGTGACCTGCACACGGGACCAGCACTTGGCAGTGACTTCTCGTCACTCTTCTCACATTCTGTTTATTTGAAGTGATTCCCTAGGGGGTCTGCTGGGATAGCTTAGCTGTCTAAGTGCCTGCTAGGCAAGTGCAAGGACCTGGGTTCAATCCCCGGTACCACATGCTGTGCTGGCCCAACCTTGGACATGTGGAGCTGGCCACAATGACCAGGTGTGGTGGCACATGCCTGTAATCCCAGTGCTGGGGAGGCTGAAACAGGAAGATCACTACAAGTCTGAGCTGCATAGTGAGACCCTGTACAAAATACATAACATTAAAAGAAAAAGAAAACAAAACCAAAAAAAAAAAAAAAGTGATTCCCTAGGTCTGGCCACAATGAGGGAAGAGAGTCAGAGAACCTGGGTGGAGGAGCTGAGGGGCACTGATAGCCATGCTAGACACATTGGCCTCCGACAGGCCCCTCCACACCTGAGTTCCCTGTGCATTTGAAGCCTGGGGAACTGTCCCTGGTATTCCATCCTTCTGTTTCCTGCTTGCTCTGTCCCTCTCCCTAAACTGACCTCCGCAGTTGCTTCTAGTTCTCAGATCTTCCCCATCTGCAGGAAGGTGTCTCTGGAGGGGAACCCACTGCCAAAACAGTCCTATCACAAGCTCATGGCCATGGACAGCACGTGAGGCCACCCGCCCTTACCCACTTCTCTGGACCTGTCTGTTCCAGGACAGAATGAGCCCCACCCTTCCTTATCCTCTGGCATCTTCCTGGGGGCCCTCCATTCTATTCTTGTTCCTGCCCTGTCCCTCTGTGCATGCCTTAAGTCTCTGGACCCGGAGGCTGCCCAGCAGTGCCGGGTTTCCTCCTCCCTCCCGCGGCCCAGGATCGTTCACTTGTCTCTGCGGAACAACAACATCGATGACTACGGCGCACAGCTACTGGGCCAGGCTTTGTCCACGCTGCATGGCAGTAACCGGACTCTGGTGTCCCTGAACCTGGCTTTCAACTATATTGGGGACAAGGGCGCAGGCCACCTGGCTGACGTGCGTGTGCGGGAGGCTGGGGTGGGGCGCTCCCTTCTCTCGCTCAGCTCACTGCACCCCGCCTGCCCGCAGGGCCTCCGGCTGAACCGCTCGCTGCTCTGGTTGTCCCTGGCGCACAACCACATCCAGGACAAGGGTGCCCTGAAGCTGGCCGAGGTAGGTGGCCAGCTAGGATACAGGGAGCTCCCATCCCTTCAGCCCTAGGTCTGACCGAGTCCTGGCCTGGCCCCGGCCCCAGGTCCTGCACCCCTTTGAGCTGACACACCCTGAGGTGGTGGAGCGCAGGCGTCTCCTGCTGGAGAAGGCAGCACAGGAGTGGTCGAGATGGGTGAGTGGCCACCTGGGCAGCTGTGGGCCGCAGGAGCTTCTGGTCTCTGACTTCTGTGGGGTGGGCTCCAGCAGCACAGCCACCTTGTGGGTGGTTAAGATACCAAAATACTACATTCAGACTCTGGACATGAAATCCAGTTCATTCATGCATGAGCTTGTGACCTGGGACTTAACCCCTCTGCCTCATTTCCTTTTCTGTAAATGAAAATAATTGTATCTACCTTACAGGATTGAGAGGATTGAATGAGTAAATTCATGGACCACAATTACAATAGTGCCCAGCAAATGACAGTGATTTCCAGTCAGGAGAGTGTGTGGCCACCTCGCCTCCTAGCTTGAATACTCCTCAGTGCAGCTCCCCATTTCAGAGGAGGCCCTGACACACTGTCCTCACCTTCTAGGAGGGAGATGGGTGGTGGAGCTGCCAGTCCCACCGCTGCCCATGCAGAGGCCGCTCCTCTCCAACCCCCTTGGAAGAAGGTATCTAGCAGCTCCTTTCTCTTTTGTGAGTGCAGCCAACTTCCTCTCGACAAGCAGAGGCCAGAATGGAACGGGAGAAGCCTCAGATTGGGGGGGTCAGCAATGTAACACTGGTGGAAAAGATGCAGTCAATGAAAACCCTTAAGGGCCTGACCAAGAAAAAGGAGAAGCCAGGGGTAGGTGTGCCTGGGAACAGCTGGGTGGGCTGGGAGGGACTCTGAGATGTACAGAGGCAGGGGAAGAAAGGAGGCCAAAATGGGCTTCAGGTCTACCACACCTAGGGCTTCCCACACCTTGCTGCCCAGCCCCTGGGAGGCAGGACTCATTACTTACCTTATATCCTCCACAGGAAGTGGTCAAGAAGGAGAAGTCACCCACACAAGGAGTCCCTAAGAAAGAAGACACCACAAAGCCAGGCAAGGGGAGTTCAGCGTGGGTACCCTTGGCTGTCACCTTCACTGTGTGGAGGGAAAAGCAGTGCCAGAGGCTCTTGGCCTGGACGTGTCTGCCACTCCTTGCTCATGCCTCTCTCTGGGCCTTACTACCTTCTCACAGTGATGATGTGGGTAGCTCAGACATGGTGGCTCCCCTTCCTTCTACTGCTCGTACCCCAGAGCTGGATCCTGATGGTCCTATTGCAGAAGGAGACCATCTACCTAGCTGGGGGCACTTGCAGTTGCTTGTTATATCCCAACCAAAAATTCCTAGGGTCTAATTCCTCACCTTGCCCATTCTCCTTGGGGATCCTGGGTGGTATCCGAGGTCTGCACTATGCTTTCTGCCTCCTTTCGGGCCACACAGGTAACCATCCCTGAGCAGAAACCAAGCAAGGGGAAAGGGACCAAGCCAGGGAACAAAGAGAAGCGCAGCATCCTCTTGGAATCCGAGGTAAGTTGCAGGAGCAGAGGTGGGGTCCTTTCCCGGGAGCTCTAATCCCCCAGTCCCTCCTGGGATAGGGTCTCCTGTCCTGGGCTGTGGCAGGCATCATTTCTTCTCATATTTTCCCCTCCACTCCTATTTGCACCACCCCCAAAAGCTCCTCCAGCAACTTGGGCTTGCTGTGGCAGTAGTGGAGCCCAGTGCTTCCTTCCTCTTCTGACTTGGACAAGTCCTCCCTTTCCTTGGCAGGCTGTAGCCCACTTTGGATCTGCTGTCCCAACTGGACCTACTTCTCCAAAGGCCACCAGCTCCACTGTTTGCTCAGGCAGTTGCACAGGGAACAAGGGGCACTCGCTTTCCCCTTTCCTTTCTTGTCAACTGACCAGCCTGCTGTGCTTTGAAATCTGCCTGAGGTGCTGACTTCACAGTTCCAGCTCCCCAACCTGTCAGTCACCAAGGGCCTGTCTCTGCCCTTTTATTATGCTCCCACCTGCCCCCATCCCAGCCCTGCTGACATTTCCCAGGTAGGAAAGGGTCCCATAGACCTGTAGGAGTCTCCTGGTTCCCTAAGACAAACTCTTAGTGTAAGAAATGGGACAGAGGAAAACCTTGTGGCCTCAGCCTGACCTTACCAGGCTATTTCAACCCCAGTTATCTTGCCTGTCTGCTCGCATTGTTCGTGTTAGGAGATACTGATATAAGCCAAATTCTGTGTGGTTTCCAGCCTGCAGAGCCTTGGCATCTACCATTCCTTGCCCAAACAGCTTCCCCTCACCTGCGAATGTCCATACCTTCACACTGCAACTCACAGGCACATCTTCCAGTCGTTGCCACCCCCTAATGGGGCTAGAAGTTCCCCTACCACACTCTGCGGCATTCCCAGCTTACCTCTTTCGGGGCCTTGCTATAATGAGTTCCTATTTTACTCAGGCTCCCACACACCAAGGAGCTTCTGGAGGGTATGGGCTTATTTATCTTTGTGTCCCCAGCACCTAGGACAGATCCTGGACTCTAGCCAGCACGCAAAACATGTATGTTGAATGAATGACTGGCCTGTTGACCAGCTCCCCTCTCCTCTGCTGCAATTAGTATTCTGCTTTAGCAGCTGGTTGCAGAAGCTACAGAGCTGATCAACCCTCTCCTGGAGCCCATGGAGCACCGAGATGGGAAGGTTTTCATGCCTGGAAACAAGGTCCTCTTGTACCTCAATCTCCTCCGTATGTCTGCTGACCTACCCTGCCCCCCACCCCTTGTAGCTCCTGTCAGGAGGATGCCCACCCCAACTCTAAGGGAGCATACCTGCTTCTCCCATAGTTGGGAATCATGTTTGAGGCCCTCGTGCATGGGCCAGGGGGTGAGGGGAAGTGCTGATTCAGGGAGGAGGCTGAGGACAGTGAGGCAGGTGGTGGGAGGGGAACAGAAGGCTGAAGGGAAGGTCAGCCCACAGGAAGAGGCTGCTCAGTGAAAGGTGGCCCTGGTGGGGGGTGTCTGGGGATGGGGAACTGGAGAAGCAGACTTCAGAGGGTGTGACAGGCCACCTTCTGCCACCAGGAAATCGCATCACAGAGGTGGGGCTAGAGGCCTTCCTCACAGCAGTGCAGTACCAGGCTCAGTTTGCCAAACCCAAGAGTGCATCCAAGGGCCCGGTGGGGCTGCTGTGGCTGTCCTTGGCAGTGAGTTCCTCCTCACCAATGCTACAGGCACCTCTGCTTTCTGTTTCCAAGACAGGCCTGCTGTCCCACGTAGTTTTTAAAATTTACAACATAAACTGTATTCCTCTTTCTTTAAGATCAGCATCATTCACTCCGTATCTGCTGGCCCCTAACCTGTCACACTCCAGGGCGTCTGCTTTCTTGTAGAGGACTAATCTTCATTCTTGTCCTCTTCCAGAAAAACTGCTTTGACCCACAATGTCCTATGAACATCATGATACAGGAGCTGATGCTGCCGAAGGACCCCATCAAGGTCAAGCTCAAGGATGAGGAGGCCCCACCTTTTTCTACCTAGGCTGTACCACCATCTTCACAGAGGCACTGGGCCATAGACACTCCTGTTGTCACCATGTATGGTGACCTCCCAGGGGAAATCGTGGACCAGTAATAGTCTATTGCTGTATTTTTCCTTGGAGGGGTTTCAAAAGTTTGTTCTACAACTATGTGAAACATATGGACTTTGAACTGTTCACATTATGTCAGCAATGAGGGTGTCAATTACTTCCCAGTTCAAACCCATAGTAAGACCTGGCTCTAGGGCTGCAGCGTCAGCTGGCCAGGGCTTGCCCCTCTGCCAGGGATGGCTGTTGCCACACATACAAGCCGTTGGCAGAGGGAGAGTGAGAGGGAGGAGTTCCTCTCAACCTGGCCCACCCAGGTATTTGATGGTATGGGAAAGGCCAGGCCTTAGCACCTACATGGTGATGACCAAGCACTGTCAGTAACCAGACACTCAGATTGTGAGGTCACCTCGCTGTGCCCAAAGCACACACCTGAGGAGCCCAGCCCCAGCAGCAGGGAACCTCCAGAGAAGGGGCTGACAGGAGCCTGTCTCCCTGCACAGCCTGGGGCACTGACCTGCTCCATACTGCCTGTGAGCACCCTCATGGTCTGTGCACCCTTAGGGTCTGTAGAGGCTCTCCCACGACAAGCTATTTTTTTTTTAAATTTATTTTTTGTTAATTGTATTTTAGGGAAGGGTCTACAGGGTGTTCAGGGTCAGGGTCTCACTACTAGATTGGACTCAGTGAATCGCCTGTTTACAGCCTCCCAAGAGCTGGGATTACAGGTGCACCACCACGCCATCTCAGGGCACCCTGGGGGCAGGGCTGGCATGGCAGGCCTGGGGATCAAACTTCCGGCCCCTGTACTAGCTTGCAGGTGCTTTAATTCACTGAGCTATTTGGCTGGCCTTGACAAGGTTTTTTCAAAAGTCTTTTTATTTATCATCCGGTACATGGTCTCACTATGCAGCTCAGACTTGTAGTGATCCTCTTTTCTCAGCCTCCCCAGTGCTGAGATTATAGGTGTGTGCCCCCATGCCTGGTTTCCACAGGGCACCATGCCTGGTTTTGGTGGCCGGCACTGCACGGGGTTGGTGTGGCACGCGGTACCGGGGATTGAACTCAGGTCCTTGCGTTTGCCAGGCAGGCACTTAGACCACAGAGCTATCTCCCCAGCCCCAAACCATCATTTCTCTGAATTTCCAATGCAGCACATGGTACACATAACAATTAGTTACCACAGCTTCTTGCTGCCCCTGCCTACATCTTCTCAGAGCTCTGGTCCTTATTCCCCACTTTACCACTGGTGACCTGGCTGTGTCTGAGGGACAAGGGGCTGGCCAGGCCTGAGGGATCCTGCACCTTGCAGTCCCTAGCCTGCTGCTGCCCGAGGGCAGTGCCTGAGGCCCCTGGGCCCACTGCACCTTTGTGTTTTCTGTGTGGGACTGTGTAATTTAGCTGTTCACTGGGCACACATCTGAAGCTTTGGAAAAGAACACTGTATGTAGGGCTCTGGCACCAGGAGCAGCTCTGCTTAGCATCTTCTATCACCATGGTCCCAAGAATCACACACATACCACAATTGAAGAATATTTAACTTTTCTTAAAAAAAAAAAAAAAAATTAACCATGTAAGGAAGAAAATAAGAGTATACATTATCTTAACAGCAAAACAGTCATTTCCATATCTATATTTTATATATTATATATATATTTATATATATGTATATATACACCTAGCACAGTGTGTATATTAAGTCACCAGTGGGGACCACAGTGAGGACATGGTGATGGCCAAAGCTGTGGGCCCCAGGGATGTAGTGGTCCTGGGTTAATTCCGGGACTCCAGCATTCAAATCCCTGGCCCGCTCCTGGGGTTCACCTTCAGCTCTGTACCTGCTGCTACACAGGTTTCTACAGGGGGAGGCAGGGAAGGGAGGACACAAAGGTACAGAAGTTCTCCACAGGCCCTGTCCTGATGCCCTAGGGTCCTACAAGTCCTAGGGGATGCGCAGCTCAGCACCGGACCACAGTGGGGCCAGGAGCCCTCCCCATACAGTATAGGGATGGTCCTGACCGCTCTGCCTCCCCCTTCAGGCCCTGCCCTGATGGGTGGGCCTGATGTTTAGGGAACTGAGTGATAGCACTATCCCACCTCCCTTAGCAGTCCCTTCTGAAACTTATCTCCAGCACTCAGGGACAGAAACAGAAAAGTCAAGTTATTTACAACAGCAAAGATGCACATACAATACATACATATTTATAGGAGTCCAAAGTGACCAAGAGGGGAGACACCCAGCGTGGCCTGGGGTCCTGAGGAGAAGGGGAGGAAGAAAGTGCATTTACACTGAAGCCTCCTCCTTTCACCTGCATGTAGGGCACTGTGCACACAGGTGCACATGCTGTGTGGGGCAGGGCAGACCACTGCCAGCTGGAGCAAGTGGCCAAGATGCAGTCAATGTGCATAGGAGACAGGCCCTGGAGGGCTGGGCTACAGGGACAGAAGAGGGGAAAGACACTGAGACCTGGCTTTGATCTGTGCAAACCAAGCAACATGCGGGTCTCCCCAGGCCTCAGCTGCATCTGTTTCCCCACTGCCCCTTCCATAGGGAGATGGCCTGGGGCCTCCCTGCTTGCACCTCAGGCTTGTCTGATGGAGAAGCAGGGATGCACAGGATTTGGCTGTCACGGTGGCTACAGTCCTGGTGACACAGGTGTATCTGCAGTACTTTCTTCCAGAGGGGTGTCACAGCCTGTGAGAGAATGGTAGGGTAAGGAGCTGGCTGTGCCCGAGGTGAGCCCTGCTGTGTGCTGTCTAGAAAGCTCTTCTTGGACTCAAACTTCAGCACCATCTATTTGTGGTAGAGCACTCCTTCCCCTTAAGAAACCCTCCCTTTCTGTGGGGCCTTAAAGAGGCTGTGTGCTAACCACATTCTTGTAGTCAGCCCCCAAATCCTTAGATCACGTAGGTATGTGCTTAGTCTTGAGTTAGGACATGGCTGTGTCCCTGGGCCACTTAAATGGCTCTGAACATTTAATAAGAAAAGGTGGTAGACATGAGATGAGGCTCCCTCTGGTGCACAATCTACATAAGCACAAGGACAGAGGGTTCAGTTCTGTCCCATCATTAAGGGATCTTCTGTGCGTGTCTTTAAAAAGATCACTTTCTGGAGCCAAGGAAATGAGTTAGGTATCAGTTGGGGACAAACCTGACCCGAGCCAGCACCTCTCCCACTGCCTGCTAACATAACACTTCCTTCCTCATGGGCACAGAGTGAGAGCTGGTTTCACTCACCGTCCTCAGGGTAGGACTCTGGCTCATGGCTGTCCCGCATAGCAGAGCCCAAGGCTTCTTTTGCTGGAGGGGAGAGGGATCTGTCTGTCCATCTGGATGTGTCTGTGTGGAAATTGCCCACGGGTGTGGTGCCACCAGAGGACTCTCCACCAAGGGATTTGAGTAGCTCTCTGTGGGCCAGCTCCATGTCCTGGAAGAGTTGGGGGATGTCTGCTCAGGTTCTCTTATTCACAGGCCTCTGAGGGAAAGGTGCTCACACTCCCATCTGTGCTGGGCCCAGGACAGTGCTATGATTTAAGGTGGCTGGATTCCCCTAGAGTAAGGTCTAGGGTTCCCACAGAATCTCACTCTTAGGGAATGATCTTGGATGACATAATGAAGGCCTTTAGGGACCCTCACCTATACGTCTCACCTTGAGTCTGTTGAGTTTGAGGGTGAGCTGCTCGATGGTGCGAAAGATCATGCCCACGTCCCTGAGAGCCAGGCCAGGGGAAGAGTAGCCGGCAAGTCTTTGATCTCCACTGCCTACTTGTGCCTGGGAGTGGCTGGTGGGTGCTCCTGAAGGGTCAGTGCTGGAATCCACTGGTCCTGCTGGCATGCTGACATAAAAACAGTTCCCTGTTCCCATGAGGAGAGAAAGAGATCAGCAGGCAATCAGAGAAACACCTGAGTTCCCTCCTACTACCTCA